GGGGGCTGGAGAAGGCGGGCGCCTTTCTGGTCCAGGGTGGAAATCATGGACCTTATTCAGGTTTGGGGGGATTCTCCCAACCTCCACGATCTCCGCACTAGATGGAGGAATGCGGCCGTGTATGGCAGGATAGCTGCCAGCCTGGCCACCAAAGGCCACATGCGAACCTAGGAGCAGGTTAGCATGAAAGTCAAGTTGGTCTGGCGAGACCCCCCCCAACCCTAAGCCCTGAGCTTCCCCTCTCCCTTCTTCCCCTTGCTTCCCCTTCCAGCTCCCTCCTCCCAGGTTTCCCCCTCCCCTCTTCCATCCTCTCTCTTTCCCACTCCCACCTCTTTTTCCCAGTCTCTCCAGAGGTTCATTCTCCCCCCCTGTTTTGTTCCCGGTGGGGAGGACCAGGGTGGCTCTGAGGGCTCCTTGGGGTGGACGCTCTCCCTCAGGGCTTCCTGGATCCTGACAGCCGCCCGATAAACCCCCCGGATGGCAGCCTGCTGGATGCCCCTCTTCCATCCTCTCTCTTTCCCACTCCCACCTCTTTTTCCCAGTCTCTCCAGAGGTTCATTCTCCCCCCCTGTTTTGTTCCCGGTGGGGAGGACCAGGGTGGCTCTGAGGGCTCCTTGGGGTGGACGCTCTCCCTCAGGGCTTCCTGGATCCTGACAGCCGCCCGATAAACCCCCCGGATGGCAGCCTGCTGGATGGCAACGACCCTACGAGATGCACCGGCATGCCCAGGGGCGGCTCTGGCTCCATGTGGCCGAGTACTGTGGTGTCCCGAGTGTGGGCACTCAGGCACTCCAAGACAGGACTGCTTTGCTGTCCCTCATTGAGATAGACAAGCAAGTAGGGAACCCTGAGAACTGTCTGTCCGGGGTGGGGGTAGGGTCCCTTTAAGCACGTAGCTCAGTTAGTCTCAGGCAGCAGCCCCACTCACTAAATCCTAACCTGATGCCCTGCCAGCACTGGTTCCAGCCAGCCTTAACTTCGGTTCAGGGTCCACACAGTGTGGACGCACTATTTCGAAATAGGTTTTGTGTATAGATGTGTTATTTCGAATAGTGCTGTAGTGTAGACATACCCTTTCATCCATATCCACCAGGAGTGTCTTTCACTGTGGGCAAGGGGTTTGCCGTTCCCTACAACCGTAGCTTTGATTCCATTGGTGTGTAAGGGGCTGAATGTTGATGCTGGCCATCAGGCCTGTTTAAACGCAGCCTTTGGTTTGAGACTTGGTGAGACTGTGAGCGTCAGCCCCCAGCGCGGTGAGAGACAGACTGAGGATGCCCTGTTGCCACAGAGCCTCCACGTTCCACAGCTCACCACAGGCATGTGGAGGAGCACTAAACTCTGGACCCATTTTCTGCACATGTGGGGAGCCCCCCTGATTTCAGTAGGAGGGTGGAAGGTCTGTTAAATGGAACGGCCTACAGAAGTCAGGCCAAAGGTGTAGAAGAAAGGGTGTCCTTGTGGGTTTCTTCTGGGAGACAGTGCGAGTATGCAGTGTAGGGGCCAGGTGTATGGGGGGAGGTTCAAGTTCCTCCAGCTGGCCTCCCAACAACTTGACAAAGACGGTTTTGCTCCTGACTCTAAGCAACCAACCCCCTTTACTCAGCCCCCTGCCTGGCCACTAGTCTCAGCTCAAAAAACCCACAGCAGTGGGGACAAAACAAACAGCGTTCCCACCCTGTGCTTGCTGCATAAATTAACATCCCATGAATCGCAGATGCCTCCAAAGCATTAATCAGATTGGGAGTGGGCAGAAAAAAGCCCAGCAGAATTCACAAGCGACTATGTCGGAACTGCCTGCCTCCAGGAAGGCTTCCTGCTACGCCGCCGCGGATACTGCTGCCCTGGCAGGTTTGGAAAAATCTATCTATTAACAAGGAAAGGAATTGCCAGCCCATTATTTCTCTCACACATTTGGTAATGCCCTGATTGTTGTGAGCCGCCTCTTCTGAGCTCTGCTGTTGAGTGCAAAGACCAGGAGTTGCTATTAAGCCTGAAATCATTATTATGTACATTAGAGTATCCCTTTAGGCCTGGGGGGGGCGGAACCTTTTTTGGGTTGGGGGCCGCTGACCCATAGAACAATCAGTGCACATAAGTGAGAAGCAAAACAAACCATTCAACCCTCCCTGATGTGACCCCCACCTGAAAGACACGCCCCACATACAGAGCTTAGAGGGGCCCAGGCTAGTGGATTTTGTGTGCTCCAGCCCCACGGGGGGTAAGGAAGGGACTGAAGCATCATTGTGGATTCCCCAATGCTGGGGGGAGCCCGGAGCCTCAGAGGCCGCATCCAGTCCCTGGGTCTTAGGTTCTCCACCCCTAGTTTAGGCCCCAGGAGATCAGGGCCTCATGCTAACAGAGGGGACTGTAGAAACACATCACGAGACAGCACCCATGCCAAACAATATAGGCAAGACAAAGGATGGGAGAGACAGGCACCTGGCCAAGATCAGGAGCAGAACCAGGCGTGGAATCTGGGTTGTTCAGTCTCCTAGGGAAGAGGTACCCAATCCACTTGCTCTCCCTGGTTTAGGATCAATGCAAAACTAAGGGCCCGATTCTGCGCCCACCTCCCAAGATCCCAATCCTGCTAAAAGTGGCGGCCTGCCCCTCTCCCGCAGCAGTGTCTCCCGCTGACGTCAGGTTGTAAGATGGTGCTCTCTGTTGTCGTGCAGTGTTGAAATGCCAAGTGTCCAGGCATCAGCTGACCACTTGTTCTATGTCATGGTCATGTCCAGGCCAGAGTTTCTTTAGAGGGCACTTCTGTGCCTTTTGGGGGTTGCCGGAGGCAAGCCCAGCGAGTCATGCATGCTCCAGCTCTGATGCACACGTGCAAACAGGCGCCCTTGTCAGGCCAGTCCCAGATGTCCTGGGCTGTGTTGTGAAAACCTGGACAGGAATACAAATAATACTACCCCACTCCCCAAAACAAACAGCAACAATGACACTACCCCATACACCTTACTACCTCTTCCTTATGTTGCTTGAGGTGCTTGGGCACACTATAGGGGTGGGCAATAATTTCTGCAGGGGGGGGAACTTAATGAATTTTGCAATTATGTCACAAGATGGCTCCACCCTCCCAGAAGGGGCGGGGCCTGGGCAGAAGGGGCGGGGCTGAGGACTAACCTCCTCTAGAGTTGTCTGGGGTACAGGCTTTGAATTAAAAACACAGCAAGGGGCTCACTGCTCCTGACCCCACTGCTACCTGTTGCCTGTCAATTGCCTGGGCTTGCTGTGACTATTTAAAAGGCTCACAGATCTGGCCCCTGCCAGGATAAGGATGCAACCAGGATCCATGAGCCATTTAAATATTTAAGTATTTTGTTTCAGCTACACCAGACTAACAGGGCTACATTTCGATCACTATTAAATAGGATCCGGCTGCCTGAGCCACCACCTGGGAATTCGGTGGCCCAGGCAGCAGGATACAAACAGAAAGTGGCCAGATCCAGTCCGCAGGCTGGATCAGTGTTAGGAGGGCCGGATCCTGCCCCCGGGCCGCATCTTGCCCAGCCCTGGTACAGGACATTATGTATGAATTACCAGGAAATACTGCAGGGGAACGTGTTTAAAAAAACAAACAAACCAGTTTTCATTGAATTTAAAAAAAGAACCGGGGGGAGGGGGGCATTTCCATGGGTCGGATTTTCCCCCAGGCTTTCTTCTTTGCCGAATCCACACGCTGGGCCCCCTTGGGCCTCCCCCCTCTCCCCTCCGGGGTGGTCGCTGTCTTCCCAGCCCCCCTCCCACTCCGCTGCCTCCCTCCC